GGTTAAAGAATAAGCATGTCTGTTTTGATAAAGACCGGTCAATATTTAGCGGGTCAAGTGGACTCTGACTTGTGACAAAATTTGCGTATATATTTACTCCTGGAGGTCATAGACCCGAGAAGTTTATAGTACATCGAAGAGGAGTAATAATATTTGGATGAAAATGACCAAAAACTTAATTTGTTGTGTTTTTTCGAGTCGATCTATAGGCCATAATTGAAAGCCGATCATCACAACACAACCCACGGTGAAGGGAATATGGACAAGTAGTTAGGGCTGTACTGAATATTAGTAATATTTGTTGATCTGTATTCGATCAAGTCTATGCAAATATCGCGAAATGTAGCCCAAGCTCGGAATAAAAATCTGCAGAAATTTAAAGTTCCGTGGAAGTTGTGTAGGGTATCATATGGTCGACTCCGTCCGACTATACTGCTTCGCTCACTGGTTAACACCCTGTAACTCACAACTGAATGCCCCAAAACAGCAAAATATTTTTCTTACTGTGAAATGTCACCCTTTCAACGAGCATAAATCTGAAATTTTTTTATCGAAAAAAATAATGGATTTCTTTTTCCCAACTTCATATATACCCCCATACCTACATAAAAACTAGACTTCAATGAAGACCTATGAAAATAAAATTGAAATATGGGAAAGTAATTCTCAGTCACTTTGTGTTGTCGTACACATAAGTATTTGAGTTTTCACCGGCAGAAATAGTCGATTGCTGGAGTTAGACCAAGTACGAAATTGACTTGTGGAAGTGTCCGCAGTCGTAGTCCCTTATAACAATTCGTTCGCTTCTGCCACTAGTGTGCGAATGGGATTCATTTTCCACGACAAGTTTGCTTTCGCGGCTCGTTCGTTTCCTGCGAGTTGTTCGCCTCCTGCCTCCGAGTGTACAACTTGTAGCCATAACAGGGCTTACTATCTATAACTAGAGTTGGGTAATCTAGTTCACTTAGCGGATCGATCTTTCTCGTTCCTTTTTTAAAATGGAACTAGTACCTTAATATAGTTCTCTTGCTCCATATGGTTCCTTTACTACATATAGTTCCTTTGCTCCATATAGTTCCGACTCCTACATAGTTCCTTTGAATCTCTCTCTTTCATTGTTCTTTTTTTCGATTTTTTTTTTTGTTTTTGTTTCCATATAGTTCCTTTGATCCATATAGTTCCTTTACTCCATACAGTTCCTTTGCTCCATATAGTTCCGACTCCTACATAGTAAAAATAAGATTTAAATATTTGAAATACGAACGAATGAAGAGTATGGGAATAAAGGAGCGAGATTAGAAAACAAGAACGAGCAAAAAAGGAAAAGAACGGGATCAGAAAAAGGAACTATATTAATTAAAGAGCTGGAACTAGTTCCGACCGTTCCTTTCTCGGAATAGTTCCAATGAACTAGTTCATTCCGGAACTACCCAACTCTATCTATAACTATATGCTGATTACAGCCACCAGTTGTACCAAAACCAGGGGAACGAGTTCCAACGCACCGAAACGATAACCAAAGAAGAAGCACTAGTGTTAGTCAGAAATATTTATATTAAGCCTTGTATAACCTAAATATTAACCGCTCTTCACAACATTATATTAATGGATTAGCTGTATACCCTTTTTCATAATCAATTCATAAAATAAACAAATTCTACGCATTTCAAACCCTGACTCCAAAAAAACTTCCCTATAAGTGTTACCAATCCGATTATAAACCCAATAGCATCACCACCTTACCCGTAACCTCCAAAATAACTAAGCATGTGTAATAAATAACTACAAATGTCAGTATTTGATTTTTTTCAATTTCCGATAAGTGGCTTCTAGCTACTTCGAACATAAAACCAATGACTTAAAACAGACGCTCTAAACACCATTTTAGTGTCAAATGTAATGTTTTTCCAATTATTTTTTTTGGCAAATCTTCGTTCGGTGTTAACAGCCATACAAAAAAAAATATATTAACACCAATGTTTTTAATGGCGTCAAATATCAATGAAAATGGATATAAAATTTAAAGACATCTATATATGAAGTCAAACATTTTTTGTTATTTACAATATTTATTTCAAATATTAGTGAGTACATCATTGGTCATAGCATTCATATGGAAAAACAATCTTTTAACAGTTTTTTTTTTTTTTTTTTAATAATTGTCCGTCATATTACTGGTAAGGTAAGGTAAGGTGTAAAAATTCAAACAAGAGTTCAAGGCAATCGCGTGCAATTAGACAGACAGATAAAAACCAACAATCAACCACAAATATTTTCCAAACGACCCCTACAACAAGAGGCGTGGATTTTTTAAAGAATATTTTTCCAAAGACTATCAGAACCGAGCTGAGGCGTGGATTTTTTAAAGAATATTTTTCCAAAGACTATCAGAACCGAGCTGAGGCGTGGATTTTTTAAAGAATATTTTTCCAAACGACCCCTACAACAATAGGCGTGGATTTTTTAAAGAATATTTTTCCAAACGACCCCTACAACAATAGGCGTGGATTTTTTAAAGAATATTTTTCCAAACGACCCCTACAACAATAGGCGTGGATTTTTTAAAGAATATTTTTCCAAACGACCCCTACAACAATAGGCGTGGATTTTTTAAAGAATATTTTTCCAAACGACCCCTACAACAATAGGCGTGGATTTTTTAAAGAATATTTTTCCAAACGACCCCTACAACAATAGGCGTGGATTTTTTAAAGAATATTTTTCCAAACGACCCCTACAACAATAGGCGTGGATTTTTTAAAGAATATTTTTCCAAACGACCCCTACAACAATAGGCGTGGATTTTTTAAAGAATATTTTTCCAAACGACCCCTACAACAATAGGCGACCCCTACAACAATAGGCGTGGATTTTTTAAAGAATATTTTTCCAAACGACCCCTACAACAATAGGCGTGGATTTTTTAAAGAATATTTTTCCAAACGACCCCTACAACAATAGGCGTGGATTTTTTAAAGAATATTTTTCCAAACGACCCCTACAACAATAGGCGTGGATTTTTTAAAGAATATTTTTCCAAACGACCCCTACAACAATAGGCGTGGATTTTTTAAAGAATATTTTTCCAAACGACCCCTACAACAATAGGCGTGGATTTTTTAAAGAATATTTTTCCAAACGACCCCTACAACAATAGGCGTGGATTTTTTAAAGAATATTTTTCCAAACGACCCCTACAACAATAGGCGTGGATTTTTTAAAGAATATTTTTCCAAACGACCCCTACAACAATAGGCGTGGATTTTTTAAAGAATATTTTTCCAAACGACCCCTACAACAATAGGCGTGGATTTTTTAAAGAATATTTTTCCAAACGACCCCTACAACAATAGGCGTGGATTTTTTAAAGAATATTTTTCCAAACGACCCCTACAACAATAGGCGTGGATTTTTTAAAGAATATTTTTCCAAACGACCCCTACAACAATAGGCGTGGATTTTTTAAAGAATATTTTTCCAAACGACCCCTACAACAATAGGCGTGGATTTTTTAAAGAATATTTTTCCAAACGACCCCTACAACAATAGGCGTGGATTTTTTAAAGAATATTTTTCCAAACGACCCCTACAACAATAGGCGTGGATTTTTTAAAGAATATTTTTCCAAACGACCCCTACAACAATAGGCGTGGATTTTTTAAAGAATATTTTTCCAAACGACCCCTACAACAATAGGCGTGGATTTTTTAAAGAATATTTTTCCATTTTTTATGATTTTTCCCCTACAACAATAGGCGTGGATTTTTTAAAGAATATTTTTCCAAACGACCCCTACAACAATAGGCGTGGATTTTTTAAAGATATTTTTCCAATACAACAATAGGCGTGGATTTTTTAAAGAATATTTTTCCAAACGACCTACAACAATAGGCGTGGAATTTTACACAGAATATTTTTCCAGAATAGGTGTGGATTTTTTTTTTTTCCAAAATCGAATATTTTTTCCAACCATATATAATTTCGTTTTTAACAGGCAAAAGGAAATGATATATATATGGTTTCTTTTGCAGAAATTTGGTATAGCGTAATGAATTAGGTTCAGAATATTTTGTGCTATGTTTCGTGAAAATCGGTTCAGATTTAGATACAGCTCCCATATATAGTTTTGTCCGATTTTATGTAAAGTACCCCAAAGACCTTATATATCTTTCGATTTGCACGAAATGTTGCATAGTGTACTGAAATGAGTCTAGAATAACGTGTGCCAATTTTCGAGAAAATCGGGTCAGATTTATATATAGCTCCCATATATATTTCCGTCCGATCTAAGGTAAATGGGTCTCCAAAGTCCCTATACATCTTTCGATTTGCACGAAATTTGGCATAGGGTACTGAATTAGGTCCGGAATGATGTGTGCTAAGTTTTGTGAAAATCGGTTTAGATTTAGATATAGCTCGTTTATTTTTCGACCGATTTAATTTAATTGTGCACTAAAGACCCAAAGATTGGGTCCAAAGGTATAACCAATGTGGTGAAGGGTATCATATAGTCGGCCCAGTCCGACTTTGCTATTTTCCTTACTGGGTTAAGGAATGTTTTTCCAAAGACCAATAGACCAATATAGCCATATTCGTCATTCTGATGAACATTGTCATTATACTTTCACTGATTATCATGGTGTCATGATGTGCATTCCAAATTTTCCACACAAATCTCCTCTATTACATTTTCCACATTAACTAATTACTATAATGCGCTGTATCAGGTATATAAAATAATTACAAATTATTAAACAATTTTCGATTAATGATCCGCAGCAATATTATTAGCTTTTTCTTGTTTTATTCCATCAAATTTATGTTGTCTGAAATATTATTTGTTTGAAAAAAGAATGGATTGTAACAACCTTTGGATTTTAAATATTTTCTTTATATTTAATTTCACTACAATTACTTCAGGATCGGTATATATAAAATGTGTATTTTTTGCAATTTAAATATAATAATCTAATTTGTATTTATAAAAGCGTTCCTTCTATATGAATTACGACAAATTAACCACCGAACATAATCCGAAATTCATAGAAAATGTAACGCTGAAATTAATCAACTATAATAAACATAATGCCATAAATGGTTCATTTTCCCTTGCCGAAGATGTGCAGGAGTTCGAAATATCAAATCGGATTCTATCGCGTAGACGTAATGGCAAACAGTGGCAGATGTATAATATAACCATAAATGGATGTGCTATGTTGGATAATTCGTTGGGTAAAAGTAATCCCATATTTGATATTGTCATGAAAGAAATTCGTAAGTGTGTAATAAATCTACCCAAACGATGTCCATTGAAGAAGGTAATTACGCTTTGTTTAATTTGTAATATTTTAATATTCTTATTTTCTTTTAGGGTACTGTAATTTCAATATTAAATTTACACTACAATGAGGATATGTTTCCACCCTATTTACCCAGCGGAACGTTTGACAGTGTGTATATGTTAACGACCCGAAATACAGTAGGATTGAAAATATTGACAACTTCTTATATTGAAGCCAGGAATAGTGAAAAACATCGCAGGAGGAAATTGAAATAAATTAATTTATTAAATAATTAATTGTTTTAGGATACTATATAAGGTATCATTTGCATTAATATTTGGTCACTTATTGTGTTTATGTAGTGTTGGCTAGTTTTTGGGAAATAGCGCAAGAAGTACTAAATATCGTATCGAGCATTAGAGAAGAACTTAAAACTCGTAGATACAGTAAGGCAATTAGCTTCTAAATTCCTGTAATAAAGTTACAAAGCATTTTACTACTACTATTGGAGATAAGGAAGAGATTGAACAATGTAATATACAGAGATGATAAAATTTGGTGTAAATGTGCGCCAATAATAAAAAATCATCTGATTTTCAAATGAAATTTGAGCAGTAAGAGCAGAAAAATTAAAAAAAAAAAATGAGTTGAGAAGATATTTAAAGTACATGTAAATGAGATCCAACCAAACATATTGTTTTAGGATAATATTGGGCGTTTGTACTAATTAATCTGACCAATATAGCGTTAGCTTTTTTGGTTTTATCTATATCTGATCCGACTTCAATGAAACTTCACACTTTTTATTCTAATCTTAATTATATATATTATCCAAAATTTAATTTCAAATAGACAAACGTAGGGTGTAACGTCAACTGTTTACATAAAATCGTACGAAAATATATATGGGAGCTATATCTAAATCTGAACTGATTTCTATAAAATTTAAAGTTATTATAGACTCAATTCAATGCGATATGCAAAATTTCGTCTCATTCGAAAGAATCTTGGGAGGTTTTTGCACCATTTACATAAAATTGGACAAAAAATATATGGGAACTATATCTAAATCTGAACAAATTTCTCAAAAATTTAACGCATGTTATTCTAGATTTAATTCAACGCGATATGCAAAATTTCGTCTCAATCGGATAAACCCTGGGAGGTTGGTGCACCATTATACTATAACTTATTCTGAACCGATTTTCACCAATTTTGGTTATGGTCCTTGGGACGAACAGGACGCTTTTATTGTCTGTATAAGATAAAATTTGGCACAGATAATTTATTTGTACCAAGGACAATCCCTAGTGAAATTGGTGAAAATCGGTTCAGATTTAGATATAGCTTCCACATATATTTTCGCCCGATTTTTAGTAAATAAATATATATGGTGCACCAAGGAGTCAAATTTAGGAGGATAGGCACGAAATTTTGCACAACGTAATGAAGTTAGAATATTCTAACGTGTGACAAGTTTTATTGGATTTGGTTCTGATTTAGATATAGCTCCCATATATATTTTCGTCCGATTTTTTGCAAATGGTTCACCGAAGAGTCAATTTTTTTTTTATTTTTTTTATTTAAACTCTTACATGTACACAAAGCCTTATTTGGCCAATTATTATGAATACATTATGCAAAATCGTTGATATATGGCACTACTCTAGGCCGATTGGCACGAAATTTTGCACGACACACTGAATTTAGGATAGCCTAACGTGTGTCAAGTTTAAGATATATCTCCCATATATATCTTCGTCCAATTGTTAGCAATTTTGGTGTACCTTACAAACTGTATTTATATAACCAACTAGCATATGCCCGCTACTTCGTTAGCCAATGTGGGAAATATTTAAACATGTACTAGCATATTATTTTACTTTTATAGAAAATTGCATATGTCAGAAAAACTAAGCAATCCACACATTAAAATCGCCAATAAATTAAATTTGAGTACAATTTAGTACCAAATTTCATGATTCGAGCTCTAAATTTTACCAAATTTAGTTCCATTTAACACACATTATTTCCATACATACCCACTTCAAGCATCCAACAAAACTTCCTGCTTACCCCGATTCTACACTCTCGCAATGATTCCAAATTCAAATTTCAGGATTCCAACTCTATCGGTTCACCCACAATGCAAATTGGACCGAATTTAGTATCCAGTAGTAGGAATTTCCAAAACATCCTACTTAACCCTATTCTGCACCCCCACAGTGATCCTAACACCAAGTTCCAGGATTCCAAATCTATCGACTCACTCACAATTCAACTTGTACCAAATTTAGTACACAGCAGTACCAATTTCTCATACTTCCTACATACCCCCATCCTACACCCCCACAGTGATCCTAAATCCATGTTTCAGGATTCTAACTCTTTCGATTCACCCACAATTCAAATTGTACCAAATTTGGTATACAGTAGTACCAAATTTAAAAAAAACTTCCTACATACCCCAATCCTAAACCCCCACAGTGATCCTAAATCCAAATTTCAGAATTCCAACTCTATCGGTTCACCCACAATTCAAATTGCATCAAATTTATTACACAGTAGTACCAATTTCCCAAACTTTCTACAAACCCCAATCCTACACCCTTACAGTGATCCTAAATCCAAGTTTCAGGATTTCAACTCTATCGGTTCACTCACAATTCAAATTGTACGAAATTTAGTACACATTAGTACAAATTTCTAAAACTTCCTACATATCTTAAACTTACACCCGAACAGTGATCCTGACTTCAAATTTCATGATTCTAGCTCTATTGGTTCACCTAACATTCAAATTGTACCAAATTTAGTATCATTTAGTACCCATAAGTATTAACCTCAATGCTACACCCCTACAGTTATTCTGACTCCAAATTTCATTGTTCCCGCTCTATCGGTTCACCCAAATCCAAATTGTACCAATTATAGTACGATTTAGTACTTTTCGTACACATAAGTAACAAATTTCCAAAACTACGTACATATCCCAGTCCTACACTCCGACGATAATGTTAATTTCAAATTTTAGGATTCCAGCTCGATTTGTATCTCCAAATTAAATTTGTACCAAATATAGTACTTTTCGTATACATGAGTACACGCTTTCAAAATCATCTCCTTAAATATACCCTACATCTCAACTCTAATTCGAATTCCAAATTTCAAGATTTTGTCTCTATCCATTCACACGCTACGAAATTGTACCAAATTTAGTACATTCTAGTACTTTTCCCATACTTATAGTTCAAATGTCCAAAAACTCCTTTATTATATCTCTTTTACACTCAATCAGTGACCCTCATTTAAAATTTAAGAGTTCTAGCTCCCCCGGTTCGCCAAATACAAATGGTATCACATCTAGTACTTTTCGTACCGTTCAAGTACGAATTTTCAAAAACCCAGCCTTATCTGTCACCTTTGGACCAAGAGTGACCCTCACCCAAAATTTCAAATTCTAGCTTCAGCCGTTTAGTCTGGGCGTTGATGAATCGTTAAGTCAGTCAATCACTTCACTCTTTTATTAGTATAGATTGGTATTTTATTTAAGTATGTGCCTGAAATCTTGTTAATAATAATGGTAGTTAGAGAGATGTATCCTTGCCACTACATAGCCCCCATTCAAAGATCTCGAGTCATTGTCGGTACGCTCAAGGTTCTAGCCCAAATTGTTTCCACCAGAGTTTTCGTAGTTTGGTTTTTCGTTTTCTCCTGAGAGTAGTTGATATTTTGAATGTCCACATCATGGCGGAGCGTCGCTCGCCATTTTTTCTTGTTAATAATAAATATTCCTATTTTCATTATCAGGCTAGAAATATACATACATAGTAACCGTCGTTTTTATAAAATCTTTATAAGGTAGAACATTTCCTCTATATCGTCAAATTATTTAGTTTTCTTTCGCTTTTCAAAATATTAACAATAACGAGCACCTATTTATAAGATAAGAAACAAAACAAATGACTGATTCGTTCAGAACAATTGACAATAACCTGACGATTGCTACGCTTGAATTATGAAAGTAAAATTGTATATTTTTTTATTCAATGAACATCCATCCATTACCGGCTTTATAGTCGGCATTCGTACTAATGGTTGTATTTCACCAGCTGGCATCTCAATACCGGCTGGAACAATTCAACTTGTCCAATGACACCAATAACCGACAGTGAAACCAGTGACGACAATTACTATTTTGTACGATTGGCGAGAGAGAGCAATGGAGCGGCAGGTGGAGGGAGACACGATGGAGAAAATAAAACACTTTTACATTGAAAAGTATGCCAGACGTGCGGATTTTTATTCATTGACATCTACAAATAGCAGATTCATTCATAAAATGAGGAGAGAATAAAAAACAAAACGACAATTTGTTGTGATATGAGATAGTGGGGTGGAATTTTTACACTATTGAGATAAAATATAAATTTTTATTTTTATTAAATATTGATGTTTTTTGTTGGGCTTCTTTGTTTAATAAAATTAAAAAATTGGTCAATAACATACATATAAATGTTTAGGTTTATAAAAGATTTTTTAGTTCATAACCTTCATGTGAAATTTCAAACTGAAACGATCCCTGCCATTGGCCCTAATTTGAAAGCGAAACAAATAATCACCATTGGGTGCTGGTATTGGTATTCTTTGAGGACTGAAGTTTCTCATTTCAAGGGGTCCCTAAAATACAAAATATTAATTTTTTAAAAAATCACACAAAAACTTAAATTTCTTACCTCAAAGGGGCACGTGTGATTCATATTTGTATACGCCTTCATAATATTCAAAATAAATTGCGCTGGAGCATTTTTACGTTTCATTTTCATTAGCTGACATGCATCCCATGTTCGATTCGATACAAGTAAACGATTCTTATCGTGAACATGATAAAATTGTGTATTTACCACACATGATCGTATGGGTTCCTTTAGAAGTTTTAGCGTCCCGGAAAAAGTTGGAATACCTTTGACATTTGGTTTTACCTCACACATTTCGAATTTACAAAATTCCGGATCGATGGCATCACAAATTGTTTTCTCCAGGCGAATATCAATGGTGTGGTGCTAAAATTTTGGTTTATTCTTAGGATTAAGAAGGATTAGTAGTTTTTGTTTTCATATGTCTTACCATTTTTATTAAAATCAAAATTATTAATAATATAATGTAGTGCATTTTCATTGCACTTGTTTGCCCTTTTGAAATTGTAATGAATTTATTAAAACATTCGGCTAAATTGAATACATTTTATTTGTTTGTGTTTTTTTTTGTTTTAATT